AAAATGTTTCGTTAAAAATAAGAACATGATGTTTTCAACGTTACACTTTTAGTATCTAAATCGTAACGAGTGTTAAATTTAATTGTTATCTGACACGTGTATGTTCTGATCATCATTATGGTAAGTTTAATAATATTTTAGTTCTTCAATTTTTTTTAAAAGCATGTTAATATCACCTTTATATTTTTTTCCCACTCAATATAACATTTAAATTAATTTTTTTAATTTTTAATCAATGAAATATAATATTATGATATTGCCATGACATAAATAATTTTATGAAACACATATGCTCATTTTATGCACTTCTAGTTAGGCCTCATATACGCATGTTTGCACTTCGTGTGTCGTGTTCGATCTCACACCTATATGCATATGAGATTTTAAGGTCATGTTTTGGGTCAATTGTAAGAGATTATAGTGGGTTTTGAACCCTAAACTATTGAATATAGGCCATCATTTTACAAGTGTGGTACCACTTGGGTTATTATTAAAATTATTTTCTATTGAAAGTGACATTTTTTGTTTTATATTTTCATGATTTTCTTTTACTTTATATATCCTTAATTATTATATATGATTTGATACAATACACAATTTTCTAAAAAAATTAATAAAAATATGAAAGTTTAATATAACAAAACAAAACTTTTAGTTAAATGTGATGTATCGAGAGGTTGGATATTCTTTTTCGTAGGGACCATGAAGAATATAAAGGCTAAAATTAACACGAATAATTAAGCAAATTTAAGATGGGAGCATCGGATTCCTTGTTGGAAAACAACAATAAATATAACATAATACAAGCAAATATGCTGAATTTATATTCTGGATTGTTAACTACTTCTTGACTGTTATTGGGTGTCGGCCAAAGCATTGGATTTTGAATGCCAAGTTGATGTTATCGTTAATAATTTATGTTTCATCTTGTTCTCAATCGATTTCTTTCTCTAGCTTGACTAGGTTTTATTGTTATGTCGATAGTTTAGCTGGTTTTGAGTCCAAACTTTTGCAATTAGTCCTAACTAGACAACACATTTGGTTTTTATTTTCCTACACATCTTTTTGATTGTGGATTGATGTTCAAATGGATATTGACCCATATCTATGCTAGATTTTTGGATGGAACAAGCACTGAATTCGTATTCACGAGGCTAAAAAGAAGTGAAGTGGAAATTTTAATGTCTGATAATCGTTGACGGTGACCGATAACATTCGAAAGTGACTAATGAATGTGGTGACCGGTGGTCCGCGGCAGGGGATTTTGATCGAATTTATGGGTTAAATTGATATATGATCTAAAGTTCAAAGGTCAAATTAATATTTTATCTAAAGTTTAAGGGTTAAAATAGTATTGTATCTAAAGTTCAAGGGTCAAATTAAAAATTAACTCCTTCTGTTAACACGTCACATAACCAAATTATTGGTATTTAACTTCTTAATCATTAAAACTTTATAAATCAATAAAATAAGTGACTAAAACAATAATGTAAGTGATCGAAATGTTAATTTTTTAAATTCAATGATCAAAAGTGACCATTTACATAGTTGACCTAAAATCAAATATGCTGAATTATATTCTAGAGACACAGGGGCCCAATTGATTTGATTTTTTCCCATGTTCTTCCACACATGAACCAATGAAAGACGCCAACCTTTTGATGTGTTTCTTAGCATTCTCAGACTTATAAGCCAGAATATGAAACGCATGAACTTCATCTTCAACATTGCAAATTATTGGTGCAGACAGCTTCGTCTGCCCCAAGCTGTTATTAACAAGATCGATCAGCTTTGTCCCGTTTCTTCTGGAAAGGAATAGATTCAGCAGCTACATGTGCGAGAGTCAGTTGGGCTAAAATCTACCAGCTGAAATTCGAGGGAGGCCTTGGACCGAAGAACTTAAAATCCTGGAACCGAGCTTGCATGATTAAACTCATAAAGAATATTCTTGCAGGAGAAGGATCGTTATGGGTTACTTGGATCAAAAAAATATGTTTTAAAGGAGAGTAATTTCTGGCATATTGAAGGAGACTCCAAATTCAGCTGGAGTTTTAACAGACTACTCAAGATACGCTCAGAAGCTTTACCAGCCATTTCGAACAGTACCCTCTCTATAAGGGAAATTAGAATGAATGGGGATAAAGTTCTTGGCAATCCTTGATTTGGTTCCCACTTTATATTCCGAAGCACAGTATAATTGCATGGATGACTCTTCTCGACCGCCTCCCTATTCGAGATCGACTTCAACGTATGGGGATTATTACTACCGGGAACTGTATTCTCTGTAATTCAACAATGGAAACTCGCTCCCATTTGTTCTTTGAATGTTCTATGGGAGGCAATTTTACTCCATAATGGGATAAAGAAAACAATTTCGTCCTGGGAAGACATGATCGATTGGGCTTGCAACACTTGGAAGGGCAAGTCCCTCATTACAACTATTATAAAACTAGCTTGGTGTGCTATAATCTATGTTTTATGGGAGGAACGCAACCAAAGAATTTTCCAAGGTCGTACAAGAACAACTGAATACCTATTTATTTGCGTCAAAGATGTCGTTGGTATCAAATTGAGAGGGAAAAATATAAATAGGTCTGATAATATTAGCACTATCCTTTGTAACTCTTGTGGTATAGATTAAACCGATATTTTATTTTGTAAGTAGTATGTACATATGATTTTGTGATCGGTGATTTTTTGTAGCAGTTTCTGCTTCTTTAGGTAATAAAAATTGAATTATCCAAAAACAAATATAAACTTTGATCAATAATATTTTACTTAGAGGATCTATAAATAAACACACATATGAATCGAATCGGACCACGTCAAACAATTCCTAATCCATCTAGAATATTTGGTGTTGCCAACAATTCAAACTTATATATGTTTTTTTAAGCGTTTAGAGGAGAGGAACTTGTGAAGAAAGGGGGCCAAAAAGAAACAAAAATTTCTGCTAATTTTGTAAAATTTGCAGTTTTGCCCGTGAAATTATTAATCAAGATTAATGGGTTTGAATCTTATTTTATTTAAATAAATAAAATGTTAGAATAATTAATTTTAGCTCAAGTGGTACCACACTTGTAATGGTATATGTCTAATAGTTTAAGTATGAAATAGAACATGACATATACATGTGAACATGTGTGCATGACACATAAATAAAGATTTCGGGATCTAATAGTTACATCGATAAAGTATATGTGTATTGTCAATAACTTAAAAAGATTTAAAATAAGTAACCCTTTATATTTAAAATTACTTCATTAGCATATTTAAAGCATATAACATCATCCATATGTGAAATCATAAAGGGCTTTCAACAAAGTACGAGGGATAAAACCTTAATATCGATTGTTGGAGATTTCGGCTAGTTGTTTTATTTAAATCGAATAACACAAAAATTTATTATAAAGATAATCCTTTCAATTCAATTGGTTACATTCACGATATTTAAATTCAAATTCTTAATTTTTTATTGTCAATAACTTATATCGCACATCTAACATTGGTAGATGAATCTTCTCGTGAGAATTTTCATAATATTTAAATTCAATTCTTAATTTTTTTATTGTCAATAACTTATAATGTTAAATACACAACTAATCTTTAAAAAATTAAAAACTTTATTTTTACAAATAATGCATAAATGGCCAAAAGTTGTCTCGTAAAGTCGTGGGCTACATACTGGCCCTAAACCCCAAATAATTTAGGCAGAACAATTTTTGCCCCTTTAACTTTATCAGTTTTATTATTTTATCATTTAAACTTTTATTGCATTCGTTTTGGTCCTTTAACTTGTATTTTTTTTATTTGTAGAATTGACCCTAATCTGATGAAAAAATAATGCTATTTTATCCCTACTAAAATGCGTGTACCCACCCTTTTTACCATGTCATTAAAAATAAAAAATATTAAATATTTGATTAAAAAATTTAGTTAGAGAAGTTCAATAACGACAAGTGAGGATGAATTTGGCAAGTGCAAGGTCAAGGACCAGTGTCTGTTGGTATTAATTTTCAATTTTCAAGTGTGCTTGGTGTCTCTGTATTTCATGTGGCAAGAAAGAAATCTTAGACAATTTCAAGGTGTGGAGAAGATAATTATACAAATTATAGGGCTTGTTAAAGATAACGTAAAGAGTATGCTTTCGAATTAAAAGATTAAGAGTGGTACTGTTGATTTTTTTTTATTATTATTTTTTACAGATTGAAAAGAAATTGATGTGGCAGATTCCTGCTTCTTGATAATGAAATTGACATCTACGAAAAAATGATAAATTAAAAAGCCAATCACTCAATTACATTTTTCACACCTACTTTACCTATTAAACTTTAAGGGGGATTTTTTAGTTTTATCACTCAACTTTTAAATTATTTCTATTTTGATCATTATATTATTACATAATTAAATGGTTATGGGATAACAGGTAACACTAAAACGACGTTGTTTTGGAAAAAGTCAAATTTACTCCAAATCAACATCATTTTAAATTTATATAATTTTTTATTTTTTCTTTCTTTCCTTTAATTTATTTGGATTTTGACCACCGCCTGTTAGTTTGACCACATACGGGCAATCATCAACGAAATTTGTAATCTTGAATGCGTATTGACTGTTCATTTAATAAAAAATATTTAAATTCCACTAATTTAACATTAAACATTTTGGTTTCTTATTTTTACTTTTGAATTTCGATAATATTTTTGTTTTTATATAAGATTATTGGTATTATCACTTTTGCTTTTGAATTAGACAATATTTATGAAAAGTGAATTGTATGCTCAGTAAATAATATATTTTATCATAATGTTATTTTTAATTTATTTATCGAGTGATTAAAACATAAATAATATTAAAATTAAATGATAAAAGTAAAAGGTTTGAAGTTTTAAAAATAAATTTAGAATAAAAATAAAATTAAACAATTTATTCAAAGCTTCAACTTCGGCTGGCTTGTTTGAAGGCAGGCGTTGTATAAATGGCGTGGCGTAGAGTTCCAGATTACTCGGGGGTTCCAAGGAGCAAAAGTCCACAAACATTTACCAAAATTCGCCCGAGTTTTTGCCTCTTTTGAATATGTGTTCCACTGGCAAGGAAGTAGCCACCGAGATCCTCCCTTTCATCCGGGTTTACAAAGACGGTTCAGTCGAGCGATTAGCAGGCTCTCCCATCGTCCCACCTTCAGCCTCGGACCCTGAAACTGGCGTCTCATCAAAAGACATCATCGTCTCACAAGACCCGCCAATCTCAGCTCGAATCTATCTTCCAAAACACCTACTTGACCAACACCAAAAGCATCCGATTTTGGTTTACTTTCATGGTGGAGGCTTTTGTTTCTCGTCAGCTTTCTCTTTTGTCGAAACCAAGTTCATGAACCGCTTGACTTGTTTAGCCAACGCTGTTGTTGTATCGATCGAGTATAGGCTGGCCCCTGAACACCCTCTCCCCATTTGTTATCACGATTGCTGGACTGGTCTTCAATGGGTTGTTTCTCATTCCAACGGTGATTCCAACGAGGAGCCTTGGGTTTATTATACTTATGCTGATTTCGATCGTGTTTATATCGGCGGTGACAGCGCCGGTGCCAACATTGCTCATAACATACTGATGAAAGCTGGTTCAGAGGGCTTACGTAACGGTGTTAAAATCAAAGGAGCTTTTCTGACACACCCTTATTTCTGGGGTTCGAAGCCAATAGGGTCCGAGATGAAAGATATGGAAGAACGGGAGAAGCTGGCAACGTACACCACTTGGCACTTGGTGTATCCAGAGGTGCCCGGGGACATCGATAATCCGATGATAAATCCGGTGGTTCCCGGAGCTCCGAGCTTGGCCGGACTTGGATGTTCGAGGCTGCTTATTAGTGTTGCTGGAAAGGATTTATTGAGGGACAGAGGGATATTGTATTATAACGCAGTGAAGGAAAGTGGGTGGCAAGGGGAGCTGGAGTTGGTCGAGGTTGAAGATGAAGTTCATGCGTTTCATATTGATGTTTATGATTCTGAGAATGCTGAGAAACACATCAAACGGCTGGCGGCTTTCCTTGTTTAATGTGCAGGACATGGAGGAAAAAAAACAACTCAATTGTGCCACTATGTCACTAGAATATATATTTCGGCATCTTTTATTTTCCCAATGTTATGTTGTTGTTTTACCAAAAGGTATCTAACATAGTTCTATGTTGCAGAATCTGATACTCCTATGTCAAGTTTGTTTAATTATTCGAAATAATTTGAAGTAATTACAAGACTGAATCATTCTGTAACAATATAAATTCGAACTTAATTCAGATTTGAAGTTCTTAGATTCTAATAAGAATTTACCTGCTTAATTTGTATAAGTTATGTAAAATGCAATGATTAAAGACCGACACAATCAACAACTCAATAAAATGTGGTGGTCCCAAATGGTATCATTTTCCTTCTATCAATACAGTGTTCAATTCAGGTTTGATTAGATGAGATAGGAATTTTGATAATTAATGGCATATCTTAGTCTATAAATGATGCATTTAAAATTTAACCGACGGAATCCGTTAGAGATTTACAAATCATATGTTTAAATGCAATTAATTTAAATTTAATGACTTAAAAAGAGATTATAGGTACTTAGATATCTAATAAAGAAACGTTACCATCCACACGTGGTGCAAGAGTTTACTGGACAGGCTTTTCATACTAATGCCATATCTTTCCTTACATCACATTAGCGAATTGATTTCTGGAACAAACTTGTAAGGCCAAGGCTAGTGAAAGAAACGCGCAAATTGCTCAAATTTAACAACCGTTACCGTCGTCGACGACAGACTCCGATAACACTTTCGGTATATCTAATAACCAACACAATCCACGATATTTCCCCAAACGACAACGAATCAAAGAAGAAATCAATACTTTCTTTGCTCTACGAACCACGCTACGAATAATCAATCGGGATCAGAATCGATGAGGCCTGCTACTTTCTGTACAACATACCTAGTCAGAGATCAGGAGTTAAAGACCAAGACTTCTATAGCCGCAGTTTATGTGGGCTGCGTCTCGTGAGTGCTTTAGCGAAGTAATCGCGGATCTCGGGAACAATTTGCTGGACTAGATGCAAGTGCCTGCAAATTATTCAGCATGACAAAACAAACGCACAACGCTCATTTTACATAAACTTAAATTCCTAAACAAGGGCAGTGTCATGGCAAAACATACCCGGGTCTTGCGCTCAATTTATCAAAATGCTCCAAGATATATAAAATGCAAGTGTGCCTCAACGATATGGCATGAAAAGCTTCAGACAGTTCATACATGCTCGAAACATTATCAAGCGAGATATCCTTCAATGAGAACATCAAAATGATCAGATGCCAATCCCCGATTTTAAGGCAACGGAAGGGATTCAAAATATATACGGACAACAACCTTTCGCTCACCTGTGCGATGGTATACTCGCAAAGTCGCTTAAGCCCCTCCAAAAGATATTGATCAGCTGCTCTAAGCAGATCTTGTGCAATATCCAATGTAATATCTACTGATCCGGTATATATAAATCTGTACAAAGAACAAAATCCAAGTAAATAAAATGATGCTCGAAAAGAACGAAAGATATAAATCCAATGTATATACATCTGGATCCAAGCATTTGTAATACCTCATCATCAACTCAAAAACCTCCCATTTAATGTTCGGTATTTCAATATCCCTTGCATCTTTTTCCTGCAACAGAGACCACAAGGAAGTTAAAAAAAGAACATCATGTAGCTCGACAACATCATTTATAAGTTTAAAGCTAAAGTGATAATTATCGTACTATTAATCTCATATTTTCAAAAAGACTAATATAAAGCTACCGTTACAAATGAAAAACCCAAGTTTGAAAAAAAAAATAGATGAGTTTAGACACATCCAGAATCATCAGACTTATCTCACAGATCAGCTGCAAGATAAAGCAATACAACATGGAGTCTACCAGTTGTTAGAAATGTACTTGAATAAATAAAAATACTGGCGTCCTTTTGGGGCGGACGTACAACAGGAAAATTAGAAGGATGCAAAAGGGAACTCACCCGATAACCACCATCAAACATGGCACGAAATGCATCTGAAGAAGCAAGCAGGCAGATTCTGTGAGCATAGAATCGTCTACCTGCAAGAAAAGGACATAAAGGATCTTAGTTGCAACAAAAGCTATATTTTGACATTGAACCAACTATTTTTTTTTTCATATCAAGTATCAGTGCCTTAGGTAAGCAAATCGTATAACCTTCAACTAGGAAGGTAACATCAGATAATGTAGCGTTGTTCACATATTGCTCCCCTAAATAGACCTGCAGAGAAGTTGTATGTTATAACAGGAACATACACAGAACTTCCATAAGTATGAACTATTCTCCTCCGTAAAAAGCCAACTATAAGAATGTTGTCGATCTACCCTTGCAATAACAAAGGAACAGTATATGGCCATACATAACATCAATTTCTCGGAATGATGCTAATTCAGGCAATCGGAATGCACGACACTAGACTAACCAATGTTACAAACTCACTTGTGGTGTTGGAGAAGGGGGAGCTGCATCCATAGGAGAAAGTGTCATAGTTTTGTTGGACAACTTGTACAGAGCTACAGCACCATCAAGTTGCTGCTTAGAGCTTGTAGAACCAAGAAGACCAAGGAGGAGTTCAAGTCCTGCATGAAAACAGAGCACAATCAGCCTTTCAAAGCAACAAAACATTTGCACCCCATTTATGCAGTATGTTATTTTAAATTGCACATAATAAAGAATATGACTGATGTTGAGTAACTGAGGAAGAGACTCTAAGAAAATGACCATTATTATCAATGAATATAGTTCTATGGTCATCAGGGGAACAAAGATGAGCTAGAGCTAAAGCAACTCGTCTTTGGACTGCCTTCTCTGCTACACGCATGAGATACAGCAAATGGTTCAAAACCTACAAAATAAATAAACCAAATAAGACCTAAAACATAAAGAGCATTGAACAGCCAGACATTTGTTTAGTCCGAAAATATAAATATATAAAGGCAAAGGATAGTTATAGGATGAAAATGCTTACTCGCCCATGAATCTTCTCCTCTAGTCTTTTCAATGTCTTGGCAACACAATCTTTTGTTGCCTGAAAGTACCATAAACCAATAATATTAAATCAGTAAGGAACTAAAAACAACGCAATGAGATAGTGAAGTTTTTGATTTCTTATGGATATCATGCAAAGCTAAGAAAATAGTAGCATGGAAACCATGAGGAGTGTAAAAAGGCAACATCTAAAAGGATTGTCATACTTGTACTATAAATTCTCCATCTTGCAGCTGTTGGACACCCCCCACCCTAATAAAATCTGATACATTATCCTACAGGAGAGAAGAATATATTAACAATGTGTACCATGACCCCAAAATATAAGCCCAAGAACTTTGAAAAGGTTAACAGCTACCACACACTACCATACCTCATTATCTGCAAGACCATAAAGAGCAAACGCAGCATTGTGTTGCAATGACCCATTCTTTGAATCTAGAAGCTTCAACAAAGGAACCAAACCACCACTATGTGCAATACCAGCTTGATTGTGTGCATCCTGCAATCAAAATTACTTTTTAGTGACACAAAGCTATCTACTAGTTCCAGCTTGTGAAGAAAGGAAATTTAGCAGAGTATTAAGTTTCTCAGAAGCAACTATAAAGACCTCATCAAGTAAAGGGAAACCCCACAAACAAGAAAAATAAAAGAGAAAAATAGAATGAGCCCTTTCTGTTCAGTGCTGAGGAGCAAAGTTATCTTAAGATATCATGCAAAAATTTGATATGCAAAAAAGCATGCTGAAATTTTGAGAGGCGGGATATTTTAAATAGTGGAAAACAAGGGATGCATATTGGCTACATGCCGACAAAGCCATGATAATTACATGACTTACAACAATCCTGGAACCAAAAAAACAAGTGCTTGGACAGATGCATTAAGTGGAAAAATTGTATTAGAAACTGGAATGAATTCATAAACTAAATTAACTTCAGATTTTATTTAAAAAAATACTTGAAGTAGAGATAAGTGATCACATTATTGCCTCAGCAAAAAAGGACAAGCATCAGCAAGATTTTAAGACAAAAGCCATTAAGCATCTTTCACAGCACAGCACTAACGAAGGCTTGAAATTGTACAACAACGAAAATAGCAATAATAACCTGTGCCAACCTCCCCAAAGCAAAGGCTGACATCTCTTTCAGCTGCACATCAGGAGAGTGAAGCATTTCAATCAAGGGTCGGACAGCACCCCTTTGAACAATATGAACCTGCAAATCCAATGTAGCATGTGTCAAAAAGGAGAAATGATGAAGGTGAAGGGAATGAAATTTATAAGTACTGCATAGAGTCCACTGCTCGTCATAATCACTTAGAGAACAGAGGCAACCATATGAAAAGCTAAATTCATTCAAATAGGGCAGTAATTCCAGAGCCAATAATCATTTTTTTCATCATGTGCCACTAAATTCACAATTATAGCCAAGAAGTATCTTAAGCCTAGTTAAGTACGAAGAGAATGGGCAGTCCACACCTTGCAATCAGAATCAGTTGCGGCAAATTGTCCAAGCAACAAAGCTGCCTCCCTTTGGCTCTCCGAGCAGCAGGAGCTGTTTTTTTTTCAATAAAAACATAATTAATAAAAAATGAGAAACCTGGATAAACTGCAGTTCAAATGAACAGCCAAAGAGTAACAAATCATAACGACATAACCCCATGCTAAAAGTAAAACAAGTTAAAGAACCATGAAACCAAATTAAACATACTTAAGCAAACCAATGACAGGTTGCAGAGCTCCAGCAGCAAGAACTTCTTTCTTTATGTTTGGTGATGAATGCACCAAATTGCCAATCACACCAACCTAAAAGCCATTCGGAAAAACCTTTGATGATGCAACAGCTGGTAAAAAAATTAAACCACAATGGAATTTGCCTAAAAATCATCCAAGTTATATTGCTCCTACTCGTTATTTGTCTTGAAGTACCTGTGTTCTACACATATCCGGACATGGGTACAATGAAATAATCCTTGAAGAACTCTCCAAATGCATGGAAATCTTGAGAAAGAAAATAACATACTGTGACAGATGTATACCCATGACTGACACCTCAAACCCAAGTCTAACATGACTGACACC